TATCCTCCAATAAAGTACAGATACTGCATTTTGGTACTTGAGTACAGTACTTAAATAGCTCTACATCGTTACTGTACGTCTCTGGTTAATACAGATAGATAACCGTGGTTGCGTGCACTGAAGCGTATATGAGAATAAAGTAGTGAATCTCAATCTATTTATTTATCTTTATGTATTGTATTTTAAATAGGCCTATAGGCTCATAGTTTTTTTTTTTTTTCCCCCAAAAAAATTACCTTCACTGAGCCTCTGGCCAATCGTAGGCTCTCTGTGGGTGGAGCTCCGGACGCCGCCATCTTCCCGGTCTGGCGGAAGAGGACCTTTTCCTCTTGAGTTGGATGCGACAAAATGGCGTCACGGACGAATGGCTGGCTGTTTCTGTTCTTGCTCGGCTTGGTTCGGGCTGCTTCAGGTGAGTTCTTCAGCTGTTCCCGTTGAGCCGGAGTAAAGTAGAAAATTTCCCGTGTTGGTTTACGGTAAACTCCACAGAGCTGGTCGAGCGGCGGCTTCTGAAATCCTCCGATTATAAATCCCGCCATTTTGTTTCCGCCGCGCATTCGGTTCAACGGTCCCAGAGAAAGTCAAAGCTCAGAATTCAACGACTTTAACGTGAAAACGCGTCCGAATCGGCGCCGAAGTCGGTTCCTGGGAAACCGGGGAGAGATTTCCTTTGACTTTTAACGCAGCCACAGCTCCGATTCTGGCGGGAAAAAGTCCTCAAAGAGTCGAGCTGTGGGCCTAAAAAAAATGGAGGTCCACTGGTTGTGTTTTTGTAATGTTCCTTTAATACTCCTACAGAAAGGAATGCAGCTTTTAGAGAATCAGCCGGTGTTGTGTCAGGTCAGCATACCCCGACAGACCAGCATGCCCATAGTTTTACGCATGCGCGAACTGCGAAAAGTAGCGAACACTTGGAGAATCCGACAGATCGCCATACCTTTCATACAAAACAAAAGGTATACACGCCTGTTGAGGTAGTTTACAGTGTATTTTTCGTACAAAACTAAAGGGATACTCGCGCATTGAGGTAGTTTAAAGTGTATTTACAGAAGGGTCTAGCTGCACCTGCAGCCATCTACAAAACGCGTCCCGTACAAAACACACCTCCCGCCCAGCCAATCGATGATTTTGATTTGGACATTACGTCATCTTGGATACAGATTAATTTAAGTGAATCAAACGTGAGCATGATGCTTACTACTAGCAAGGTTGTAGTTTTCACATAAAAAAGTAACGATAGTCTCGTTCAATGTTGGGATTAAAGGAACAGTTCAATCGATGATCGAATTGATGTACAATTTTGCCACGTTTTTTATTTGCTTATATCTTCTAATTTCCCAGGGACTGCACATGCTTTAAATACGAAATTGTTAGAAATTGCATTTCTAAGTTAATCTGTAAACAAAAGTACTTGACTTTCGGTGTGGTTTTCTGGTAAGTTTGTGTGTTTACCTTAAACTGCAACCTTTTGTTTATCACATCACGCTATAAAGTAGTCTAGTAAACTTTGTCAATGTTAATCTCTTAGATTTCTGCTAAAGGTAGCGCATGCATATTAACTATGGGTATGCTGGTCTGTCGGGGTATGCTGACCTGACAGAACTCAGAAGAACCTCTGAGGTCCAGTTCAGGGGGGGTCCAGCTGGGGGGGGGGGGTCTCTGGTGTGTCCTCCCTCTGAGCTCTGTAACCTCCTCTCTGCTCTGTGTTGTTTCCACTGTGCAGGACAGAGACTCACCATCACAGCCGAAGCCGGACAGGACGCCACGCTGCCGTGTGAAAGTGGAAACGAGTCGGAGATAACCGCTGTGATGTGGATCAGACCCGATCTGGATCCAGATCATGTTTTTTTGTTCAGGGATGGTCACTTTGATCAACACCACCAGCATTCGTCCTTCAGGAACCGGGTGGATCTGCGGGACAGGCAGATGAAGGATGGAGACACGTCTCTGATCCTGAAGAATGTGACGAAAATTGATACAGGAACATATGAATGTAGAGTCCATCAGAGAGGAGTCCAGGACAGGGACCGCTTCCATACCTCCATCCATCTGGAAGTAGCTGCCCCTGCCCCCCCCCGGTATCTCCTCCTGGATCTCCTCCTCCTCCTCCAGGTGAGTGTGGCTCAGAGCTGCAGCAGCTTCCTGCTTGTTGATGTGAGAGTGACACAACTCAGGTGTTTGTGTTGTGAAGATGCTGCTGATGAGTGCAGTTTTAGCCCTTTAACTCATTGACTGGCAGCCATTTTCAGAACAGAGAGTCGCTCACTGCCAGAGTTTTTTGAGCATTTTGACTGATTTTTCAAGAGCCACAGAATAGTTTGTGCTATGACTATGTAAACACCGAACACACCAAAAGAAAGACTAGACTCTTTTCTTTCATCAGGTAAAAAAATGTGTTTCTACCTTATTCCGTTCTTCCTGGACTTGCGTCTCACCGGCGACATGTTCTCTCATAGAACCGTTCCCTTTTTCTTATTTGCCTACAGTCTATGCTCATCTCCCATCAAAAGTGGCACTGCCCCCTAGAGGGTCAATTTGTTACTACATACTCTGTCTAGAAGCCCATATTTATGGACAAGCTTTAGCAGATCGTCCCCCAGACACTCTCGTTGAAAAACATAAAAGATGTCTATAGACGTCTTTGGCAGCGAATGAGTTAAGAGCCGATTTAAAGAAAAATAATGATCACTGTAAAAAACAATAAAGTTGATATTACACCAAATGGATATGTCACACTCAAAGGGGCCTTACAGGAAAAGGTCCTGGTGCTGAAGAGTAGTCTCCAGGTGTGTTAAAGGAGCCTAAAGCAGCGGTCTGGCCCACACAGTGGACAATAAGAAAGAAGCAGCTCACCGAGACGCTGTTCAGCCTTTTGACCAGCAGGTGTCGCCAGAAATGAGTGTTGAAGAAGCCTTTTCCAACCAAGCTGCAGTGCTCCACAGAGCTTCATTTGGACATCTGTAGTTCATAGGAACCCAATGCAAAGCAGAAATGTTTCACTGGGACACAAAGAGGTTCCAAACGGTCCCAAAATCATTCTGTTGTTCTTCAGCCGACAGCTGCTGACAGCTGCTTCTCTCCTGCAGGTCGGAGTCATCATGCTGCAGTTGCATCAGTTTTGGGGCTCCTTGCTGTTGTGGTTGCTGTCTGGATCCACAAAAGACGCCCGGATGAGGACACTGTCCGGCCTCTGGCAGCCTGCCGGAGCCCCCTGCAGCCTCAGCAGGTCTGATGGAGGCCTCACAGGTGCTGTGGAGTAAAGAGGAGGCCAACAGGCTGGAGCTCTGGCAGAGGGAGGACGACCAGCAGCCGATTTCAAACCAGAGGAACATCAAGAGAAGGGGTCGCCGTGGGAATGTAATTTTGACACAAAAGTCTGAGTCCATCTGAGGAAGTAGGAAATAGAAATGTATTAAAAGGGAAAAAAGGGAAAACTTCATTAAGTGAGAGCAGCCAGCACGATCATACAGGTGGTTCATATGAGGCACCGAGCTGCTCTAAAGTAAAAATCATGGAGCATTTTATACCCTCTGAGTCTGGAATAAGACGTAAAGTATGTCCTCCCTCCTGCATCTGTATTAAACAATCCTCAGGACAAAAGATTGTTAGACCAAATATGAAGAGGACCTTCTCTGAGACCTTGAAGGAGGAAAGAACCTTTAAAATCTTCAATTGTGGAAAGTTACCAGAGATAAATCAAGAAAGTGATCATACATACATTGATTTCCTTAACAGGGTTCAGGCTGCTCTGTGGACTTCTGCTGAATCGGTGTGACCGGTCGGGCATCTCTCTGGTCGTCTTCTTCCTGTTCTCAGGGCCTGAACACAGAAAGGCAAAAACCCACACAGACAGGTCAGACCCAGCCGGGCGTCTCCTCATTGGTTCCTGCACCCAGGCCCATGTTTGGTTGGAGGAGTGGTGGTGTAGTGGTTAGCATAGCTACCTTCCAAGCAGTTGACCTGGGTTCGATTCCTGGCCAATGCAGCTCCTCCCTACCCTGTAAGTCGCTTTGGATAAAAGCGTCTGCCAAATGCATGAACATGAACATGAACATGGTCTGTCAGGTGTCCAGGTTCAGAGAGGGCCAACTGCAACCCTCCTCCCCCCCTCCTCCTCATCAGGTGCACTCAAAGGAGCACCTGACTTTGCATAAACAGAGCTGCTGTTGGACAAACATTTCCATAAACAAATATCTGCTGACTCCATCCAGGAGTTTGGGCAGCCGACAGGTTCAACTGGTCTCAGAGAAAACCTTCGA